TATTACCCAGCACATTGTAGAGTATTAATGCTGAGCGGAATCGAACCCCAATAGCAATGATACTGGAACCTTATTGGCAACATTATTTCGTAACGCGCGGAAACAAATGAAATGCACACCCCTTGCTAGGAAAAACCTTGGGTTTGGAATGAAACACCAGCTTTTCCTAGGGGAAAAAAAGTTTTGGCCGAAAAACCCATTTTTCCTGTGGAGAATATGGTGTTGGGCAAGAACACCAACTTTTTCCTAAGGGAGAACCAAAAAAAAACAAACAATTTAAACATCCTTTGGGAAACTGTACAGCCAGACTCCAAGAAGATGTTTTTTGCTTTCCCTAGGAGAAAAACTGATTTTTCTACCCAAAACAATTTTTCCAGAGCAAAAAATAAAAACAAACTGCACAAAACCAAGTTTTTCCAACGAAAAAGAAGGCTTGCCTACCCAAAACCATCTTTTTCCTAGGATAAAGTTGGTTTTTCAGCCCAAAACCAACTTTTTCCTGGGCAAAAGATGGGTTTTCCACCGCAAACAAACTTTTCCCTAGGGAAAACCAAAAACCTTCTTTTTGGAGTCTGGCCACGTAAGTTCTCCAAAGATGTTGTTTTTTGGTTTCCTTAGGAAAAAGTAGGTTTTCCTGACCAATCCAAAACCAACTGTTTCTTAGGAGAAAGTTGGTTTTTCCACCGGAAACCAAGTTTTTTGCGGGAAAACCAAAACAACAATGTTTTTGGAGTTTGGCTGCGCAAATTCCAAAAGATGTTTTTTTGGTTTTCCCTAGGAAAAAAGGTTGGTTTCTGCTTGGAAGAGTACACTGTTCCCGTTAAGTGCGTGCTCACGTGGATCCTGAACGAGTTGCCTGGCGGTATGTTTGTGAGTGGAGAAGTACAGTCTTGCCGTTGAGTGTGTGGTCACGCCGAACATGACGACTTGTCTAACATGTTCTCTTGAAATGTGTATTTGGTTTTGGCAGTCTTTGACAGATACGGAATCCGGACCTGCCGGAGAAAAAAGTTTGTCACGGTATTTACGATACAAAACGAGGGTCGGTAGTCCACGGGGGGGTGGTGGCCGCCACCATTAAACCATGTTTATTTGGTAGCTGAGAACGAGCAGTTCTCATACCAAAACACTGACGTCTCCACATACAAAGACTGCATCGGCATGCAGACGTATTGTCATCGTCAGATACGGATCCCCCCAGCGTTGAAACGAAAAGGTAATGTCCCCACCTCATGCTCCAAGAGAAGAAGAGAATCGCGACAAAAGAAGACAGCCTCTGTCTAGCTTAGAGCTCTTTTTTACCGCTTGGTAAGTCGCAATCTTGGAAATATGGAAGAGACCACCCTCCTAGCAAGAGAGGACTAAGCTCTCTTAGCCTCCCAAAAAAACGTGCTCTACCTGCCTCGACAAGAAGAGACTGGCTTCT